CAGATTGATTGTACCAACTGACCCTCACACCAGCAATATAGAGTTCCAATCCTCCACTATCTTGCTAATTTGTTGTCAGCCCTTTTAATTGTAGCCATTGTGGTGGATATATAGTGCTATTTCAATTTGGTTTTGATTTACATTTCCCTGTTGAACTTTGATGTTGAACAATCTATTCATACACTTACGGGCCATTTGGAAATCCTCATCTGTGAAGTGCCTGTTCAAATTTACATCTATTATTTTACTGTATATTTGTTGTTTTTTTGTTTTGTTTTGTTTTTTGTTTTTGCAAAAGACATTTCAGGCAAGAGTATTGAAAGTGTGGGGCTGTTTGGAGTGTAAGGCGTAAGGTGGGGAGGAGGTATAGAGAGCTAATATAACCATCACTGTTTTGCAAGTAAGGAAACTGAAGCATAGAGAAGCTAAATAACTTGCCCAAGTAAGTGGCAGAGCCAGTGTCTATGGTCTTTATCCCCCAACTTTATTGAGGTATAATTGACAAATTATATTTCAAGTATACAATGTGATGATTTGATATGTGTATACATTGTGAAAGGATTCTCACCGTCAAGTTAATTAACACATCCATCACCTCACATCTTTACCCTTTTTTGGGGGCAGTGCTTGTACTCCCAACCACTGTGATATTCCCTTTTGTAAAAGTCATAGGATCTTGAATGTGAAAGGAACCTTAGCGATTGTCTGATGTAATCCTTTCAATTTTTGTTCTTTTTTTTAATTAAAAAATTTTTATTTTATCATGGTACAATATACATGACATAAAACTTACCATTTTAACTGTTTTTAAGTGTACAGTTCCGTGTCATTAAATACATTCACGTTGTTATGCAACCATCACCACTATTCATCTCCAGAACTTTCTCATCTTTCTATACCAAAACTCTGGACCCATCCAATAATAATTCACTAACCCCCTTCCCCCCAGGCCCTGGTGACCACCATTCCACTTTCTATTAACTTGACTATTTTAGGTAGCTTTATATAAGTGGAATCATTAAATATTTGTATTTTTGTTTTTGGCTTCCTTAACCTAGCATAATGTCTTAAAGATTCACTCACTCATGTTGTGGCATATATCAAAATTCCCTTCCTTTTTTTTTTTTTAAGATTTTTTTAAAAAAATTGTTTATTTATTTATTTATTTATTTATTTAGATTTTATTTATTTGAGAGACAGAGCACAAGCAGGGGAAGTGGCAGGCAGAGGGAGAGGGAGAAGCAGGCTCCCCACTGAGCGAAGAACCTGATGCGGGGCTCAACCCAGGACCCTGGGATCATGACCTGAGCCGAAGGCAGATGCTTAACCGACTAACCCACCCAGGCATCCCAAGATTTTTTTATTTTTAAGTAATCTTTCCACCCAGCATGGGCCTTGAACTTACAACCCTGAGATCAAGAGTCACATACTCTACCAACTGAGCCAGCCAGGCTCCCCAGAATTCCCTTCCTTTTTAAGGCTGAATAATACTTCTTTGTAACCACATTTTGTTTTCTATTCATTAGTTGATAGACAAGTTGCTTCTACTTTTGGCTATTATGAATAATTTTTATCTGAACATGGTTGTGTAAATATTTAAGTCCCTTCTTTCAAATCTTTTCTGTGTGTACCTAGAAGTGGAATTGCTGGATCATATGGTAAATCTATGTTTAATTTTCTTGAGGAACTGTCATTTTATATTCCCGCCAACAATATACAAGGGTTCCAATATCTCCACATCCTGGCCAATACTTTTTTCTTTTTCTCTTTTCTTCCTTCCTTTTTTTTTTTTTAATAATAGCCACCCAAATGGGTGTGAAATAGTCTTATTGTGGGTTTTTTTTTTTAAAGTTTATTTATTTATTTATTTTAAGTAATCTCTACACCCAATGTGGGACTCAAACTTACAACCCTGAGATCAAGAGTTGCACACTTCCAGCTAAGCCAGCCAGCCACCCCTCTGATTGTGGTTTTGACTGGATTGCCCTAATGATTAGTGATCTCTCTATGTGCTTATTGGCATTTCTTCTTTGGAGAAACATCTGTTCAAGTCCTCTCCTCATTTTTGAATCAGGTTATTGTGTTGTTGAGTTTTAGGAGTTCTTTATATACTGTGGATATTAATCCTTTATCACATAGATGATTTGCATGTATTTTCTCCCATTCTGTAGGCTATTTTTTTTCACTTTTTAAAAAACTTTAAATTTGGAGCGCCTGGGTGGCTCAGTTGGTTAAGCGACTGCCTTCGGCTCAGGTCATGGTCCCAGGGTCCTGGGATCGAGCCCCGCATCAGGCTCCCCGCTTGGCGGGAAGCCTGCTTCTCCTTCTCCCACTCCCCCTGCTTGTGTTCCCTCTCTCTCTGTCTCTCTCTCTCTGTCAATTAAATAAAAAATAAAATAAAATAAAATAAAATCTAAAAAAAAAAACTTTAAATTTAATTAATTAACATATAATGTACTATTAGCTTCAAAATAGAGTTCAGTGATTCCTCACTTACATAATACCCAGTGTCCATTACATCACGTGCTATCCTTAATGTCCATCACCCAGTTACCCTATCCCCCCATTCCACTCCCCTCCAGGAACCCTCAGTTTGTTTCCTATGGTTAAGAGTCTCTTACAGTTTGTGTGGGCTACCTTTTTACTTTGTTGATAGCATCCCTTGATGCACAAAGTTTTTAATTTCGATGAAGTACAATTTGTCTTTTTTTTCTTTTGTTGCCTGTGCTTTGATGTCATAGCCAAGAAATCATTGCCAAATCCAGTGTGGTGAAGCTTTTCCCGTATGTTGTCTTCTAAGAGTTTTTTCATTTTAGGAGTTATGGTTAGGTCATTGATCAATTTTGAGTTTAGTTTTTGATATGGTGTTAGGTAAGGATCCAACTTCATTCTTCTACATGTGGATATCCAGTTTTTACAGCACCATTTGTTGAAAAGACTGCCCTTTCCCCACTGAATGGTTGAAAATCATTTGACAATATATGAGGGTTTATTTCTGGACTCTGTATTCTACTTCATGGATTTATATGTCTGTCTTTATGCCAGCACCATATTGCTTTGATTACTGTAGCTTTGTAGTAAGTATTGAAATCAGGAAGTGTGAGTCTTCCAACTTTGTTTTTCTTTTTAAGATTTTATTTATTTATTTATTTGACAGAGAGAGGGAGAGCACAAGCAGGGGGAGCAGCAGGCAGAGGGAGAAGCAGGCTCCCTGCTGGAGCCGAAGGCATATGCTCAACCGACCCACCCAGTCACCACTGTTCTTCTTTTTCAGGATTGTTTTTACTCTTTGGGTTTCTTTGAGATTTCATATGAAATTTAAACTTTTTTCTCTTAGTAACAGGGCGCAAACTCACAACGCCAAATTCAAGAGTCACATGCTCTTCCAACTGAGCCAGCCAAGTGCCCCTCAGGCATTTTAGGATGGAATTTTCTATTTTTGCAAAAAACGTTTTGCAAAATCATTGGGGTTTTGATAAGAATTGCATTGAATGTGTAGATCCATAGGTCTTAATAATATTAAGTGTTCTAATCCATGAACATGGGATGTCTTTCCATTTATGTATATCTCCTTTAATTTCTTTCAGCAATGTTTTACAGTTTTCATTGTACAAGTTTCTTACTTCCTTGGTTAAGTTAATTCCTAAGTTTTTGTTTGTTTGTTTGGGGGGGGAGGGGGAGAGGGAGAGGAAAAGAGAGAATCTTAAGCAGGCTCCATGCCCAGCACAGAGCCTGATGTGGGGCTCGATCTCATGACCCTAAGATCATGTCCTGAGCCGAAATCAAGAGTCGGACACTTAACTGAGCTATGCAAGCGCCCATTTTTTAATTCTTTTTGATGCTATTATAAATGGATTGTTTTATGATTTCCTTTTCACATCATTCACTTTAATGTATAGAAATGTAACTGATTTGGGTGCCTGGGTGGCTCGGATGGTTAAGCATCTGCCTTTGGCTCAGGTCATGATCCCAGAGTCCTGGGATCGAGTCCCGCATCGGGCTCCCTGCTCCTTGGGAGCCTGCTTCTCCCTCTGCTTCTCTCTCTCTCTCCCCCTCTCTCTCTCCCTCTGTCTCTCATGAATAAATAAATAAAATCTTTAAAAAAAAAAAAAAGAAATGTAACTGATTTTTGTGTGTTGATTTTTTTAAAAGATTTTATTTATTTATTTGAGAAAGAGAGCACAAGTTGGGGATGGGGTGAGGGGCAGAGAGAGAGGGAGAAGCAGACACCCCGTGAGCAGGGAGCCCAACACAGGGCTCGATCCCAGGACATCAAGATCATGACATAAACCAAAGGCAGACACCCAGCTAACTGAGCCACCCAGGTGCCCCTGTGTGTTGATTTTTGTAGTCTGCAACTTTAGTGAGTTTATTAGTTCTGGCAGTTTTATTTGTGTATAGAGTCTTTAAGATTTCTACATACAAGACCATGTCATCTGTGAACAGAGATAATTTTACTTCTTCCTTTCCAATTTGGATGCCCAACCCCCTTTTTTCCTTACTTAATTTTTCTGGCTGGAATTTCTTTTTATTTTTTTTAATTTATTTTTTTCTGGCTGGAATTTTCTAATCCTATGTTGAATTAAGGTGACAAGGGCTGGCACCGTTTTCTTGTTCTTTAATCCCATTTTATAGATGTGAAAATGTAGGCCTAGAGAAAGGCGTTTACTTGCCCATAGTTATACAGCAAGTTCATAGCAAAGCAGGAACTGGCATCCAGACCTTTTTAACTTCTGATCTGGTATTCTTTCCATTATGTTAGGTTGACAGCAATATGGGTAGCTGGTTATGGAAAGGGGCAACATGATTCTCTTATTCTGTGTTTACTTTAGAATATGACACCAATAAATCATAATAGATGACAGTGTAGAGAAATTTTAGTGTTATGAGATGTTTTGCTATTTGATTTGTAACTCCTAATTTTTACATCTGATGCATATAATGTAAATGAAGTTTACTTAACTTTCAGAATGTCATTATTCTTCTTTGCATTTCTTCAGTGCAGTTACAATTGGAACTGATATGCTGGAATTGGACTGCCATATTACAAAAGATGAGCAAGTTGTAGTGTCCCATGATGAGAATTTAAAGAGATCAACTGGGGTCAATGTAAACATCTCTGATCTCAAGTACTGTGTAAGTAAAAATGCATGATAAACTAATATCTAGTAGACATTAGGGCCTGTAGGGTTTTTAAAAATAATGAATGCCAGATAGTGCTCCAATAAATAGTAAAAAATAAATGATAATGATTAAATAATGAATGCCAAAGGAAATTATAAAAACTATTCTAACTTCCAGTGAGGATTTATACTCACTACAGAAATCTGTGGATACATCTTTGGAGACTTATTTTTATAAGTATTTTAACAAGATTACCAAAGTCATCAAATGTAAAACTGTTGGACATCAAATTGCTTGAAGTATTCTACAATTTATTTGATTCAGATTAAATATATGAATTAGTTTTAGTCTTCAAGTATGGGAAATCCGATTTTAGTAGTTTACTTGCCATTATAGTAAAGACTGATAAACGGATGGAAAATAATGCTTTATTTTACCACCTAAAGAAAACTTACATTAACAGGATACTATCTGTATGTGTACCCTGTATGTTTTTTGCCTGGTTGTGATCCTACTGTATATTATATATATTGTGTTGTTGTTGTTTTTTTTAAAGATTTTATTTATTTTTTGACAGAGAGACAGCAAGAGAGGGAACACAAGCAGGGGGAGTGGGAGAGGGAGAAGCAGGCTTCCAGCCAAGCAGGGAGCCCGATGCGGGGCTCGATCCCAGGACCCTGGGATCATGACCTGGGCCGAAGGCAGACGCTTAACAACTGAGCCACCCAGGCACCCCTATAGATTGTGTTTTTGCACACTTTAACATTATGGCATGATACACATTTTTCCATGCTTTTTTTAAAAAAGATTTATTTAGAGAGCGAGAGTGAGAGAGAGTGAAAGCAGGGGGAGAGGGAGAGAGTGAATCCTCAAGCAGACTCCCTGTAGAGCCCAACGTGCAGCTTGATCCCAGGACCCTGAGATCATGACCTGAGCTGAAACCAGGAATCAGACGCTTAACCAACTGAGCCACCCAGGCGCCCCTGCTTTTTCTTTTTTTTTTTTAAATAGACTTTAGTTTTTAGAGCAGTTACGGTTCACAGCAAAATTGAGCAGAAAGTACAGAATAGCTTTTGACACTACATGTACAGCCTCCCCCTCCCCCATCAACATCCTGTTCCAGAGTGGTACATTTGGTACAGTCTATGAACCTACAGTGACACGTTATCATCCCAAAATCCATAGTTAACATTAGGGTTTATTCTTTTTTTTTTTTAATTAATTAATTAATTTATTTAACAGAGATAGCACAAGTAGACAGAGAGGCAGACAGAGGTAAAGGGAGAAGCAGGCTCTCCACTGAGCAGGGAGCCCGATGTGGAGCTCGATCCCAGGACGCTGAGATCACGACCTGAGCCAAAGGCAGCCGCTTAACCGACTGAGCCACCCTGGCTCCCCTAGGGTTTATTCTTAATGGTGTACATTCTATAGGTTTTAAACATAGGATGACATGTCGATTTTAACATATAATGATGTATCAACTATTATAGTGTCGTACATAATAGTTTCATTGCCCTAAAAATGCTCAGTGTTCTGCCTGTTCATCCTTCCTGCCCCCCCACCCCCTGGCAACCACTGATCTTTTTATTGTCTTCATAGTTTTACCTTTTCCAGAATGTTATATATTTGGAATTGTGTCTTATTTAGCCCTTTCAGATCCCATTCTTTTTTTTTTTTTAATGAGGTTGTTTTTTAAAGATTTTATTTATTTATTCATGAGAGACAGAGAGAGAGAGAGAGAAGCAGAGGGAGGAGCAGGCTCCTAAGGAGCAGGGAGCCCGATGCGGGACTTGATCCCAGGACTCTGGGATCATGACCTGAGCCGAAGGCAGACGCTTAACCATCTGAGCCACCCAGGCGCCCCTCAGATCCCATTCTTATTTTTCATAAACATTTCAAGTGACTGCAGTTATTCAATTGAGTGGATATAGAGTTATTTTTAACCATTCCTCCTCTGTTGTTGGGCATTTGAATTAATTCTAAGTTTTCACCATTAGAGATAACACTGCACTGAACATCTTCATGCATAAAGATAAAGCTTTCTCTATATTTATATGCTTATATAGAGTTTTTCAAAGATATATATTTATGAAGGCATGTATATAAATATATTTATATTTGTTGAAAATATCAATATAAAAATAAAAGTTATCTCTATTGTTAGTATATGTGCTGCTAAAGCAAGCACAAGTTATCTCTGTTTTTAAAATTATTTCCCTAAATAACTCCCAGCAGGGAAATTATTGGGTAAAAGATTAGGAATATTTTAGTTGCTTAATATATATTGAAAGTGATTATTGCCAACTTGCTTTCTAAAAGTGTTTAAGAGTTTCAAAATCTGGGGCGCCTGACTGGCTCAGTTGTTAGAGCATGCAACTCTTGATCTCAGGGTTGTGAGTTCAAGCCACACATTGGTCTCAGAGATTACTTAAAAATAAAGTAAAAATTTCTTAAAAAGTGCAAAAATGTGGTGTTAGAGGAATTCCCATTTTGCTGTACCCTTACCATTATTGGGTATTATAATAATAAAAATTTCCTAAATTTAAATTTTAATTAGCATTTATTTGATTATTTGTGAGTCTAAAGATTTTACTGTATTTAGTCATTTTTTAAAATTGTCTATCTTGACACTTGTCTACTGAGATATTTATATATTTATTATTGGAAAAGGTCCATATTAAATAGTACAGATTTCTTCTAAATTGTGAAAGTAAGTAGTAATATGTTTAATTTGCTGTTTGGGATGTTTGGCTAAAGCATGCCTTATGTAAACATAGGTAATGTTTTTATTTTATTTTTTTGAAGAAGCAAATCTTTGTCTTACTGTAAGACACTAAAATACTTCAAAATTTTTGAGTTAACTGTTTTTCAATCATATCTTTTAAAGGAACTCCCACCTTACCTTGGCAAACTGGATGTCACATTTCAAAGAGGTAATATTTCCCATTTGCAGCTTACATATTGACATTAAAGTGTATTCATTTACACTGAGAATTGATATACATGTGTGTTTTCTTCTGATAATAAGTTCCAGCCAAAGGTACTGCCCTCAATACTTATTGTCTCAGACCTACAAATCTGAAATCTTGACCCTGAGATGAAGGCTAAAGATTTAATTGGCTCATTCTATTTAAATTTATGTACAGTTAATTTAAGCCTGAATACTAATTACAAGCAACCCAGATATTATTAGAGCTACTTTGCATTTCTGAAGCTTCAAATTCTAGAAGATTACTATAACTTGTAGTAATAATCCATCATAAGTAAAAAAAAAAAAAAAATGAAAAGACATTGGAAAGACCTCCTTTCGGATCCTTACTGATTGTATACCATTTGATTTTATGTCATTTCACTGCTCCCTATCTTAAATTATTAGAGAGAATTCTATTACTTGGATTAACCACCCATTTCCTGGTCACCATCACTTTTTATTTTTTTATTTTTTTAAAACTTCAGTGTTTTATTTATTTATTTTTAAAAATTTTTTTTTGTTTAAAGATTTTATCCATTTATTTGAGAAAGAGAGAGACAGCGAGAGCAGGAACACAAGCAGGGGGAGTGGGAGAGGGAGAAGTAGGCTTCCCGCTGAGCAGGGAGCCCGATGCGGGGCTTGATCGATCCCAGGACCCTGGGATCATGACCTGAGCCGAAGGCAGATGATTAACGACTGAGCCACCCAGGCGCCCTCACCATCACTTTTTAATCATCAGCATAGCTATTTTCTCTCTTGTGAGGGAATATTTCTCACAAAGAGCATGCTCCTTGGCTGTTGGATTTGTTAGAATGGAACACACAGCTAGAGATACAGTTTGCTGAGCAGGTACAGGGTCCCACATGATCACAATTCAGCCTCATGTTTTGAATGATTCAAATGTAACTCAGTAAAACTACAAGATGCTACATGTTGTGGTCTTTGGTGTGGTATGGTTTGCATATAGTTAAAACCCTGGTTAAATGTCAAGGATCTAAAGAACTGTAACTGCTCTGTGAACTAGATTAAAAATTGGTCAGTATAATTTCTCCTTGATTGGAAAATTTAAGAAAGCCAAATAAGAATCAGAAAATTGTTTAAATTAGCTATTCTAAAGGATGTTTAGATCTGAAAATTGTTTGATTTTACTTTCCAGGTGAGTATCATTAAGCTGTGTTGGTTTGCAGAAACATTTTTTTCATTCTTGTGTTTAACAGGGTTATACTTGCCAAAGCTATTATATTTGTGTCAATTATGGATTTGTGAAAGTTAAAAAACATTTCATAAGTGAAGTTTTTTGTTTGTTTGTTTTGGGGGGGTTTTGTTTTGTTTTGTTTAATTTTTTCCCTTGTAGAGCAAAGCCAAAGCTTCACAAAGATTAAAAGATCCTTTGAGGAAAAAATGTTTTAATTTTTTTTGCAGGTTTTATACTTTCCTTTCTTTCTTTAAGTTTTTATTTAATATACCTTTTTTCATAAAGTCATAAAACTTTTGGGTGCCTGGGTGGCTCAGTTGGTTGAGCGACTGCCTTCGGCTCAGGTCATGATCCTGGAGTCCCGGGATCGAGTCCCGCATCGGGCTCCCTGCTCGGTGGGGAGTCTGCCTCTCCCTCTGACCTTCTTCCCTCTCATGCTCTCTCTCTACCATTCTCTCTCCCTCTCAATAAATAAATAAAAAATCTTTAAAAAAAATAAAGTCATAAAACTTTTGAATATGCAGTGACCTTTGAGACCATATAATTGTCTCTTCCTGTTTTAGATAAGGAAACTGAGGCTTAAAGATGTAGATTAACTTAAGGTCATACAACAAATAAATCACAGATCTAGGACTTGAAACTAGGTCTCTTTCTAACCAGCCCAGTGTTCAGCTGCACCATGCTGCCTCTCCATCTGAAGAGTCTCTCACTCTTTTCTTTGATTAAGTAGGCTCCTTGCCCAACATGGGGCTTGAACTCATGATCCTGAGATCAAGAGTCACATGCTTTACTGACTGAGCCAACCAGGTGCCCCTAGATTCTCTTCAAATGCCTTATTAATAGCACTGCCATGTCTCACTTTTTAGACACCTATAAAAAGAATTAATTTTTGTTCATATTGCATTCAGTTTATCACAATTAACTTAAGACTCTGCCTCAAATGTGAAGTTTACTACATTTGAAATAGGCTAATATATAATACTGTAAAAACTTGATTCAGATTAGGCAGATAGTTGTTCCTTTTTTTTTGATCCTATTCCCCTGCTCAGAACTGTTGCTTACTTTTCTTTAAATACTGGAGAGAGAGAGAGAGAGAGACTGCTAGCTCTCAGAGGAATACAAATTTTAGGCCTCTGGCTTTCCTTGTGGTTCACAATTTTACTGAAGAAGTAATTTTTTTTTAAGGTGCTTTGATGTGCCACAGGCTACATTAAAAAATAAATATAAAGAAAGAATATAAAAATGTGTTACCCAAAGGGTTTGTTATTATCTATCCTGCTTACTTGAAAATAGCTTTTTTTTATGAAAAATACATAATTTGGATAATCTAGAGTTGATCAGAATGGTCAGTTTTCAAGTTCTAGCATGTTTATAGAGGCCACTTCACTCATTCCATCGCCCAGCACATCTTAAGGCATATTCCTTGCCTATCACTCTTGTTTTCCTCTCTCTTTTTGTAGTATTTCCCAGGGGTTATCTTCTGCCCAGAACAATACTGGCGACAAATTTCTTTCCTCAACTCATTTTCTACATTCTATGCTGGCTGAGGCATCTAATGTAAATATCTTCATGTCACTTTAGCATGCGCTTTTTTTTCTTTGTTATTAACATAACTTTAATTTCCTTTTTTCTCCCATTATTAGATGTAATATTATTCTTATTGTATAACATTCCAAAGTTAGTGTTATCTGTTTGACTTTTTTCTACGTTCTTTTTTTCTTCAAAGTTTATTTATTTATTTATTTATTTGTGAGAGAGAGAGAACTAGAGAGAGAACAGAGGGAGAGGGATAAGCAGACTCTCTGCTGAGCAGCCCAAGGCGGGGCTCGATCCCAGGACCCGGAGATCATGACCTGAGCCGAGCTGCTTAACTGACTGAGCCACCCAGGCGCCCGCTAAGTTAATCCTTGCAAACATCTTACCTGGGTGTGGATAGCTATTGCCCATGGCAATTCTTTTGACTGTGAAATTAATTTCTCCACACTTAACAAGCTAACAAAATTTTTACTTAACTAAAATAGCAGCACTGTTTAAAATGGAGTGTAGTGATAGAGGTGTTCTGTATTTGCAGTGTCAGTTATAATAGCCAATAACCACATGTGACTGTTGAGCACTTAAAATGTGGCTAGTCCATCTCAGGGACTGAATTTTTAGTTTTATTTAATTTTAATTTAAATAGCCCTGTGTGGCTAGTGGCTACCATCTTAAACAGTGCAGGACTAGAACATCATGTTCAGACTTTTTAGATTGTTAACAGAAACGAGTTTACACTAGCTTAAGGGAAAAAAGAAACAACAGATTTAGTTTATCATTAACTGTCTATAATAATGGTGGATCTGATGTTAAACATTATTGAATCCAAGGGCACAAAGGGGACTCTTTCTGAATCATTCTGTGGTTCTGCTTCTCTTGGGTCTTACCTTCTTCCAGTGTAAATAGAGTTTGTCCTTGTGGCAGGGAACATGATCACTGACAACTCATTTATATCCTGCCCACACATTGACCCAAGGGTAAAAAAGCAATCTTCCTTTGAGCTTCAAGGGAAAGTTCTAGAGAAAGACACTGATTGGCCCAGCATGGGTCATGTGTCCATCCTTGAGATAGTCACTGTGGACAAAAAAATAGGCTATTGTAATAGACCAGACCTAGGTCATATGCATGCCCATGAGAATAAAGGGGGAGTGGGTCCTGTTTTTGAGAGCCCAATCAGAACAGTGTGGCATAAGGGAGATGCAGTTTTCCAAGGGAAGAAAGGGTGCTGGGTAGGTAAAACAAGCTAAATTTTTATATGTTAACATAATTTTTACAGTTCAATTAGGTAGTGTATAGTAAGTCAAAACTCAATTATAAGTGCTAGAAATCCATGTCAGGATAGTTCAAAAGAAATTTTTTTTAAGAATTTGGTTCTTAAAAAAAAAATTTGGTTCTCCTAACCAAAAAGCCTAGAGGTTCTATGCCTTCAGACGTGACTAATTTCAGTTGCTTAACTATAATTAGTCTCTATCTCTGTTTCTTGGTCTGGTTTCATTTATGTTAGCTTTGTTTTCAGGCACACCTTCTACACATAAAGATGGACTCTGCCAACATCAAAAATATATGATGCATTCAGCTGAGGATTTCAGGAGACCTCTCCTCATGTTACAGTGTTATGCTTAAGGTCCATGTGCTCTCTTTGTGGCCAGGGAGACAGAGCCAAATGATTGAAAGTCTGGTCAAAATGATCCAGAGCCCCATCATTACAAGGAGTAGTAAAAAGGCAATAGGAATGGAATACATAACAGACAAAAGTGTAACACATTTTTCCTTTTTTTTTTCATTTATATGCTGCCTTTTCTTTTTCCTTTTTTTTTTTAAAGATTTTATTTATTTATTTGACAGAAAGAGACACAGCGAGAGAGGGGACACAAGCAGGGGGGAGGGGTGCCTGGGTGGCTCAGTCATTAAGCGTCTGCCTTCAGCTCAGGTCATGATCCCAGGGTGCTGGGATTGAGTCCTACATAGGGCTCCCTGCTCTGCGGGAAGCCTGCTTCTCCCTCTCCCACTCCCCCTGCTTGTGTTCCCTCTCTCGCTGTCTCTCTCTCTGTGTCAAATAAATAAAATCTTAAAAAAAAAAAAACCCAACAAGCAGGGGGTAGTGGGAGAGGGAGAAGCAGGCTTCCCGCCAAGCAGGGAGCCCAATGCCGGGCTTGATCCCAGGACCCTGGGATCATGACCTGAGCCAAAGGCAGACGCTTAATGACTGAGCCACCCAGGTGCCCCTATATGCTGCCTTTTCATATGAGCCTTAATTATAAATAATTTTTTGACATGGATTTAATTTACTTTGTTGATACACTTTGTACAATGAAGATGAAATAAAGGATCTGTTACCGTTTTGTTATTCATATAGTAGTGGGATTGAAGTTTCAGATGGAAGGGAAAATTTTATGATACTTATATAGCATGTATAGTATATTATGTAAATGTTTCAAGGCAAAAGAGATTAGGGAAAGAATAAAGAAAATAATGCTCAGGAAAGGTAAAAAATGACTAAAAATCCTCTTCTAATTTTTTTGTGACTCAGTTTTCGTTGAGTAGCTGCACTGATAACAATTCTTTAACACATTCCTGAATTAGCATTTATTTCCCTTGCCTGAACATATATATATTCTCAATCTCTGAAAATTTCAGTGGTGATATCATAGTAAAACTTTCCAAACAACCTCCATATCCTCTGGTAGAGTATAGGGGATTTTTTTTTTCCTTCTACCCTCTAGGTTCTCAGCAAGGATTTATAACAAAAGAGAGATTAACAAGAGAAAAACAAACAAATTTATTAATATGTGTATCATGGGAGAAACTCAGGGTTGAGTAACTTAAAGGCTGGCTAGAACTTGAGTTTATATAGCATCTTAACAAAAAAATCCAATACATTGTCAGAGAATTGACAAGACAAATAAAAAGGATTTTGAGTTTCTAGGGTAGCTAATCATGGGAAGGTAAATATATGGGTGAATAATGGAAGATAAAGGCTAGTCAGTAGTTTGTTATGCAGAGTTCTGTGGTGCTGATAAGGGTCTAAAGTTGTTGGTAATTTATGTTTTGTACAAATTTAAGTCTTGTTCCTAGGCAAATGGGAAAGGACAGAGTGCTTTTTTTGTATCTGCTTCATTTCAGTTGCCTTCGGTTAAAAATAATCCTTATGGGCGCCTGGGTGGCTCAGTTGGTTAAGCGACTGCCTTCGGCTCAGGTCATGATCCTGGAGTCCCAGGATCAAGTCCAGCATCGGGCTCCCTGCTCAGCAAAGGAGCCTGCTTCTCCCTCTGACCCTCCCTCCTCTCATGTGCGCTCTCTCTCTCATTCTCTCTCTCTCAAATAAATAAATAAATCTTTAAAAAAACAATAATCCTTATGCCAAAGTGGCATATTTTGGAATGGTAAACTCTTACCTTTCTGGGGAAATGGTTAAATTAAAATAATTAAATTGTTGCATAGCTACTCAATGGAGCATTTTAAAACCATTTAAAATAATAATTATAGAATAAGATTGGTGGATTATAATAATATCAATGTCATGGTTATGATATTGTACTGTAGTTTTACAAGAGGTTATCAGGGAATCTGGGTAAAAGGTGCATAAATCTCTGTATATTTTTCTTATAACTCCAAATGAATCTATAGTTATCTCAAAAAGTTTAATGAAAATATTTTTAAATCATAATTCAAAATTCTAAGTGTATTAATATGTAATATTTATTTTTTACTTATGTAAAAAGATCAGGTTAAGATCTATAGGTACACTATATTATAACTGTATTAAATTATGCATAGGAAAAAAAGACTAGAGAAAGTATACTAAATGGTCACAATGGTTATATCTAAATTGTTGGATTTTAGATGATTGTCCTTTTCTTTACTTTTCATCATTTTGTAAATGTCCTCTATGAATACATACTATTGTGAAAACAATACTTTATCTTTTTTCTCCCAATCCTCAAAAAAGTGAAAGTCATCTTTTAAAAATACCTTTAAAAATCTTGCTTTCTCAGCATGCCAATGTGAAGGAAAAGATAACCGAATTCCATTACTAAAGGAAGTTTTTGAGGCTTTTCCTAACACTCCCATTAACATCGATATCAAGGTCAACAACAATGTGCTGATAAAGAAGGTACGTGAGCCAATCCCTCTTCTGGGTATGTTGTATCAGATTTCACAAACTGAATAAGGCTACAGTAGGTGACTTCATAGATTGATAATATTCAAGGAAATGTGACACTCTAGGGATCAGTATTGTTTTAAATAATGCCCTGGTAGAAGAGATCACTTTACTGTAGGAAGGCCTATTTCCAGAGCAAGCTGTCCTGTCCCAGTCATGGATAAAAGTGAGCTTCTGTGAACCAATTGTTCTGGCATCGATATAATTAACTTCTTCAAATTTACTTGCTTCCTTTGTAGTTAGTTTATATCAAATGACTAAATAGTTGCCTTCTATTAGATAAATCATAGAATGGTAAAATGTAAGTAATTGCTTATATTTTATAAAATAATCTGAATTCACATATTGGTTCTTCCCAAAGTTTGTATTATTCACTGGCAGAAAGTCAATTGTAATCAATTTTTTTAAAGATTATTTATTTATTTATTGGGGTGGGGGGAACGTGTAGGGGAGGGGCAGAGAGAGAAGCAGGCTCCCCGCTGAGCCAGGAGCCCGATACGGAACTCAATTCCAAGACCCTGGGATCATGACCTGAGCCGAAGGCAGACGCTTAACTGACTGAGCCACCCAGGTGCCCCAATTGTAATCCATTTTTTAAGTGAAGTAATGTGAGCAGATTTACCAGTAGGCGCATGCATGAACTTTTGCATTTTCACACATAGGTTTCAGAGCTGGTAAAGCAGTACAGACGAGAACACATAACGGTGTGGGGTAACGCCAGTTATGAAATTGTAGAAAAGTGCTACAGAGAGGTAAGCTTCAAACATGATACGGAATGATCTTTCTTGCTGTTGTTGTGTATCTATAAATGTTATCACCCTAATAATTTTTAAAAGTATCTTATTTCAAAGCGTTGATACAAAGACAGATAGTACTGGGTGGAAGCACCTAACCAGAAGTTTACTAATAGAGGTAATGGATTTAATAGAAATAATGTACGTGGGCTGGCTCACAGAATTCTTATTTTCACATGCTAATAATATTAATTGTTTGCCAACATTTTATTATGTACATTATAAAACAAGATATGATTCCTGTCTTATAATGTCTGTTTTTTGTTAGGTTATTGAAATTTTTGTGTAATTTTAAATTGAGGAAAGGATTTTAGTCCTTCACCTCTATAGCTCAAGCTTCTCTGTTCCCTACCTCCCAAACAGAATTAATCAAATTAAGCCAAGATCATAGTTACCAGGTGGTATATAAAATTAGGGGCATCTACCCACCGAAATTTTTCTGTTTGAAGAAAATATGTCTATAAAAAGTTAATTGGATATATTTAGACATGGTATGCTAAGCCTCTATAAGCAAGTTTAGCTATACACTATAGCTATTATAATTTATATACTTATATACTATAGCAAGTATAACTAGGAGAATATGAAATTCAAAATGCTAAAAAAAAAAAACTTTAAGCATTAAAGACTCTCTCTCAGAATACAAGTGATAGTGCAGAAGAAATACTGTGACACAAATAGCGATTCAAAATACAAAGATTTCTTTTGGGAAGGCCTTTCTTCCTAGCAAAGAAGGCAAAAACATAGATCCAGAATTGGCACCATTATAATTAAAAGTACCGTTGAAGCCTTCATTAAGGCAAGTAAGTTTTATTTCTGTGCCACAGGCTCTCTGAGATTCCAAGGTAGCTTGTGTACACAAGGAGAAGACAGTGATCATTGGGATAAATGGCTTCAGATGCTAAGAATTTAGTGCTAAGACTTTTCCATAACTAATCATTGTCTAAGGGTATTTTCACATGTCATTAAAAGTGACTGTACGGGAGGCCTCATGGCCTGCTGGTTGTTTACATTATTCAAATGTTTTTTAAAAAATAAAAAATAGTGATAACAGCAAATGCTGGAGAAGATGAGGAGAAGCTGGATCTCTCCAGCTTGCTGGTGGAAAAGTAAAATAGTACAGCCACTTTCTTCATTTGTTTGGTAGATTTCTTACCAAACTAAACATACACTTACCATATTAACCAGTAGTCTCACTCTTGGGCATTTATCTCAGAAAAATGAAAACTTATGGACATAAAAACCTGTATATGAATGTTTATAGCAGCTTTATTTATTATAGCAAAATACTGGAAACTCCCACCAGAATGCCCTTCAGTGGGTAGATCTCTGAACAAACTGATATAACCACATGATGTAATACTATTCAGCCATGAAAGGAAATGAACTCCTGACACCTGTAACAACCTGGACTGTCCTAATCCTCAAAGACATTTTGCTTAGTGAAAAAAATTAACCTCAAAAGATTACATACTGGAATCTCTATATTGTACACCTGAAACTAATATAACAGTATATGTTAACTGGAATTTAAAAAAAAAGTTTTAAATAAAGAAACCAAAAACAAAACAAAAAGATTACATACTGTATGATTCCATTTATGTAACGTTCTCAAAACTATACACATGAAGAACAGATAAGTGGCTGCCAGGGGACAGAGACTGGGGGTGGGGTAGAGAGTGGGGGCAAATACAACAAAGAGGTAGGAGGAGGGAGTTCTTGACTGTGATGGAACTATTCTGTATCTTGACTGTGGTGGTGGTTACATGAATTGATACACTGCTAAAACTGCACTAAACCTGGGCGCCTGGGTGACTCATTTGGTTAAGCATTTGCCATTGGCTCAGGTCATGATCTCAGGGTCCTGGGACTGATCCCCATGTTGGGCTCCCTGCTCAGCAGGGAGTCTGCTTCTCCCTTTCCCTCTCCCTCTGTGCTCCCTCTCTTACTCTCTTTCAAATAAGTAAATAAAATCTTAAAAAAAAAAAAAACTGCACTAAACCAAACACATGCACAAATGAATGCAGATTTTTTTTTTTTGAATGCAGATTTTAAAAGTGGTGAAAACTGAATAAGATCTATAGTCTAATTAGCAGTGATATGCCAGACCAGCGTTAAAAAGAAAGGAGGAGAGGGGAGGGGAGGAGTGGGGAGGGGAGAGGAGAAAGGAAAGGAAAGGGAAGGAAGAAGGAAGGAATAAAAGAAAGAGAGAGAAAGAAAGAAAGAGAAAAGAAAACAACAAAAAACCCCAGTGATCTACCAGTGTCAAGTCCTGGTTTTGATATTGTACTACAGTTAGATCAAATGTTACCATTTGGGAAGGCTAGGTTAAGGGTTCACGGGACTGTGTTTTTTTTTTTTTTAAAGATTTTATTTATTTATTTGAGGGAAAGAGTGAGAGAGAGAGCACGAGAGGGAAGAGGGTCAGAGGGAGAAGCAGACTCCCTGCCGAGCAGGGAGCCCGATGCGGGACTCGATCCCGGGACTCCAGGATCATGACCTGAGCTGAAGGCAGTCGCTTAACCAACTGAGCCACCCAGGCGCCCGGGACTGTGTTTTTACAACTTTTTGTGAGTCTGTTGTTTCAAAATAAGAAGTCCACTTCTGACTCAGAATCACAGAACTTTTCCCTTGATTCACATATTTTTCTCGAAGCCTCTGGCTTTCTGTCATTTTAGAATTTAAAAACTCCAAAACCTGCAGCAGTAATTTTCAAACATCACAGTAAAAATGTCTCAGTCATATCTGTTATTCATATTATGAACATGCCATATAATTGTCATCAATTTATAAGAATTTTACATTAGCCCTTTAATTCCCAAATGCTAGAAACTAAAAATATAAAAATAACTTGGCTAATTGAATTTAAATTAAAAAAACAAAAAGAAAAAAGAAAAATGGGGCACACAGTGGGGAGGGGAAAACATGTGGCCCTTAGTCTCACATAATGACTTTTAATTCATTCTTACTTAATGCAGTGGTTCTTAAGCCTAGCTGTATGTTGGAATCACCTGGAAAGTCTCAAAAAAAAAAAACAAAACTAATGCCTGGGTCCCATTCCATAAATTCTATTTATGTTATTCAAGTATATTTGAAACACGATGTGATACTAGTGACTCCACAAATCTATACATTAGGCTCTGCTCACCAAAAGTGTAGCAACCAGCTGTTAACCATACAACACTATTACAATACCATTGACTGTGTTCCCTATGCTGTGCCTTTTACCCCCATGACCTAGTTATTCCCTGACTGGAAGCCTGTATCTCTCACTCCCCTTCACCCATTCCTCCACTCCCCTCCCCTCTAGCAACCATCAGTTTGTTCTCTGTATTTATGGGTCTGTTTCTGCTTTTTGTTTGTTTATTCATTTTGTTTTTTTAGATTCCACATATAAGGGAAATGATATGGTATTTGTCTTTCTCTGTCTGACTTATTTCATTAGCATAATACCCTCTCAGTCCATCCATGTTGTACGTGGCAAGATTTTCAGATGTTCTAATTTAGAAGATACCCAGTGGCACCAGCTGTTATGTCAGTGGTGGGCCAGCATACCAAACCCCACCCTCTCCCACCCCAGGCAGCCTGGCATGGCTTTCCAGAAGTACCAGTTACTGTTTTTAGTTCTCTGGGTCCGAAGTTGTGTAAGTTTTGAGGGTTGGCCCGAACCCTGTTTTTCCCATAAGCTCTGTTACTCTTAGTGCATGAATTTGCAGAAATCAAGTTTTTCAGGGACTTGTACATTGTGTTACAGCTGAAACACCTGAATATAAATAAGCCTAAAATGTTACAAAGCGTCATGTGAACATAGGGGCAAAAGAAATCCTCAAACTTATTTACTCTATTTTTTTTTAAATAAAGAAGTGGGTAATTTAGAGGTAATATTTAAAATAAATTACTTTTCTGTGTAACTTCTTCAATATATTACTTTTGTATAGAAAAAAATCAGCTTTGGGGCACTTGGGTGGCTCAAGCCGTTGAGCGTCTGCCTTCAGCTCAGGTCATGATCCCAGGGTCCTGGGATCGAGTCCTGCACTGGGCTCCCTGCTCAGTGGGGAGTCTGCTTCTCCCTCTGTCCCTCCTTCCTGCCCGTGATCTCTCTTGCTCTCATGCTCTTTCTCTCAAATAAATAAATAAAATCTTTAAAATAAAAAAAAGGAAAAAATCAACTGTACCATAATTTGTTTGTTTTAAAGACAAATATAGGAGGGGTTAGGGAGATGGGGATATGAGGGGCCATTTGCTAAGCATAGAATTTCAGTTTTACAAGATGAAAAGAGTTCATATATATATATGAAGCTTGCATTCTAAGCATTTTGGGATCTTGAACACATTTTGCAATAGAATTCTAAAATGGTGGCTAGATTCTTCGACTAGCTTACAAAATCCTATTTATATTTCATGCATAATGTAGTTGAAAGATGACATATTTGCAACAGTGTTTATATTTTATCTATACATATCAATATCATATCCTGCTTAACTAATATATAACTAGATCTGTAGATTGGAACACCTATATATCTATATATGGATATATATGAATATATATCGATCTTTAGTTATATATTTTTTAAATAGGAGTAAGGTTACTGAATATTTCATTTCTTCATTTCTTTGTCTTATTCCATTAGGTTCAGTATTTTTAATCTCTAGTGATAAGCACTATCACCAACAGACAGAAGTGGTGTTGCAAGCAGAGAATAGGGAATAGAGATACTTAAGTAAGTATCATCAATTAACAGTATAGGGCTCGACAATAAATCCTGACCCATTTGGCAAGGACTAGCCATTTTTAAATGTGGTGGGTTTGGAGATGGATATTGATAATTCAGGGAGTACTTTTAACGAATGTCCAGATACAGTCTTGGAAATTTTGAGGATGTGAAATAATCCTCTTCATCTGAGCAGTTGTAAAGTAACATAATATTGCTTGTGTCTTTTAGAATTCAGATATTCCTATACTCTTCAGTCTACAACGTGTTCTGCTCATTCTTGGCCTTTTCTTCACTGGCCTCTTGCCCTTTGTGCCCATTCGAGAACAGTTTTTTGAAATCCCAATGCCTTCTATCATACTGAAGTAAGTGGTTACTCTGTTTTTATCAGTTATCATTATAGGGGGACTAAGATCAAGGCTCATTAATATCAATATAAATGATAAAGAATAGATTGCTTATAGGGACGCCTGGTTGGCTCAGTCGGTAGAGTGTGTGACTCTTGATCTTGGGGTTTTAAGTTTGAGCCCCACATTGGGGGTTTAAAAATAAAATCTTAAAAAAAAAAAAAGATTGCTGTAGTTATTTACATGTTGGATTAAGTGACCTGTATTAATAATACTTTTTGATATCATTAAGATACATTTTTCTAAAATGAGTAATATAGGATTATAAGTATTTCACCTGGACCCATTTCAGGTAACAATGACTTTCTGTGCCTGTGTACTCAGAATTCAGGTACAAAGAATTGAGCTTGACTGTTGAAGCTTAATAATTCTTTTATTCTAACATGTAATAGCAATTGCCCTCCAACTTCCCTAACTTATTTATACCTCAATCGCAATATGCAGCTGAAATTCCATTAAACTCCAAATTCTCGGGGCACCTGGCTGGCCCAGTGAGAAGAGCATGCGACTCAATCTCAGGGTTGTGAGTTCAAGCCCCATGTTGGGCCTAGAAATTACTTTTAAAAAAATTTAAATTAAATGTGATCTCACCTGCATGGAAACTTTTTTCATCCCCAAACAGAACTTTAAAAGATCAAGCTGGGGGTGCCTGGGTGGCTCAGTTGGTTAGACGACTGCCTTCGGCTCAGGTCATGATCCTGGAGTCCCAGGATCGAGTCCCACATCGGGCTCCCTGCTCAGCAGGGAGTCTGCTTCTCCCTCTGACCCTCCCCCCTCTCATGCGCTATCTCTCTCTCTCTCTCAAATAAATAAATAAAATCTTAAATATAAATAAATAAATAAATAAATAAATAAATTTTCACTTCTCACAGAGTGGGATGTATTTCTCCAAAAAAAAAAAAAAAGATCAAGCTGAACATTAGTGCAGCAGTCATTAGGAAATATTGGTAAGAAAAACATTTTGGTCGGTACCCTTGTATTCAGCATTTATGTTTCATGCTTGTTTTCCAATTTGTTTCTTCATGATGAGCATGTTTATTTTATCTATTCCCAATTATATTTATGGGCAGTTTTTGTAGTTTTTTCTCAGACAGGATGGAAATCACGTCTTGCCTACAAAGAAACCATTTTCATTTGCTGGATTAAAATGATTCCTGACCATTTACTCCTGAAATACTTAAGCTTCCTCTGGCTTGGCATGGACTGTTGTCCTTTCTGGATTATCTCCATGTGTTCTTTTAGAAGCAGGTATTACTGAAATACAGACAGATGAACAAACTTCATAGAATTAATCTTTTCTCTAAAAAGTAATTGTGGATTAAGACAAGCTAGAATATTGTGTGTGTTTTAATTTTTTTTTTTTTATGGTTGACAGTGGGTACTTCCTAAGACAACATAATCATTTGTTTAATGAGATAATTAGTGTTTGAGATACGAAGTCCCTGAGATTCCAAAAGTTGCAAGCCGTACTTCCCACCTGGGCTACAGCTAGGGAAAAGAGGATTTTATTTAGAGAGCTTCTAATAAAAACTGAATTCAGAGAGAAAGAAAAAAAAAAAGGAATTTAAGTGTGGAGACTCAGAATTATTCCAAGAGTATAGACAGGATGAATTAGAAAGGAAACAAGAAGTGAAGCTCCAGGGGCAATGGAAATCACTGCATGCTGTTAAACTTAGAAGCTGAGAAGTGTTCATAGTAGAGAGAGGCTAACCAGAGATTTGCTATGTGTACAACCCAAAGTTAATGACACAGGTAATTGTGCTGCTCCAGGCATCTGAGGAAATTGAAGAAACTCAGCATAGGTCCAAAGGTCAAGTATAGAAAAGATAATTAAAAAGAACAGGGCCTAGGCTCCATATTTGCAAATCCAACAACGTGCTACATCATCACATTAATAAAAGAAAGGATAAGAACCATATGATCATCTCAATAGATGCAAAAAAGCATAGGGAAAAGACAAAGTACAACATCCATACATAATAAAAACCCTCAACATAATAAAGGCCATCGAGAAAAACCCACAGCTAATATCATCCTCAATGGGGAAAAACAGAGCTTTTCCTCTATAGTCAGGAATAAGACAGGGATGTCCACTCTCACCAGTTTTATTCAACACGGTACTGGAAGTCCTAGCCACAGCAGTCAGACAACAAAAGGAAATAAAAGGCATCCAGACAGGCAAGGAAGAAGTAAAAGTTTCACTATTTGGAGATGACATGATACTATATATAGAAAACCCAAAAGACTCCACCAAAAAACTGCTAGAACTGATACATGAATTCAGCAGTCACAGGATACAAAATCAGTGTGCAGAAATCTGTTGTATTTCTATAAACCAATAAGGAAGCAGAAAGAGAAATTAAGGAATCACTCTCATTTACAATTGTACCAAAAACCATAAGATACCTAGGAATAAATCTAACCAAAGAGGTGAAAGACCTGTACTCTGAAAAGAAATTGAAGATGACACAAAGAAATGGAAAGACATTCCATGCTCATGGATTGGAAGAACAGATATTGGTAAAATGTCTGTACTCCTCAAAGCAATCTACACATTTAATGCAATCCCTATCAAAATACCAACAGCATTTTTCACAGAGCTAGAATGAACAATCCTAAAGTTTGTATGGAACCACAAAAGACCCAAAATAGCCAAAGCAACCTTGGAAAAAGAAAAACACAGCTGGAGGTATCACAATTCTGGACTTCAAGTTATATTACAAAGCTGTAGTAATCAAAACAGTATGATACGAGCACAAAAATAGACACACAGATGAATGGAACAGAATAGAAAATCCAGAAATGAACCCACAATTATATGGTCAATTAATCTTTGACCAAGCAGGAAAAAATAGCCAATGGGAAAAAGAATGTCTCTTCAACAAATGGCGTTGGGAAAACTGGACAGCAACATGCAAAAGGATGAAATTGGACCACTTTTTTACACCACACACAAAGAATAAATTCAAAATGGATTACAGACCTAAATGTAAGAACTGAAACCATAAAAATCGTGGAAGAGAACATAAGCAGTAACTTCTTTGACATCAGTCATAGCAACTTCTTTCCAGGTATGTCTCCTGAAGCAAGGAAAACAAAATAAAAAACTATTGAGACTACATCAAAATAAAAAACTTCTGCACAGCAAAGGAAACAATCAGCAAAACTAAAAGGAAACCACGGAATGAGAGAAGATATTTGCAAATGACAGATCTGTTAAAGAGTTAGTATCCAAATATATAAAGAACTTATAAAACTCAGTACCCCAAAAATGAATAATCTAATTAAGAATGGGCAGAAGACATGAATAGACATTTTTCCAAAAAAGATATACAGATGGCCAGCACACATAAAAAGATGCTCAACATCATTCCTCCTCAGGGAAATGCAAATCAAAAGTATGATGAGATACTACCTCATGCCTGTCAGAATGGCTAAAATAAAAAGCTCAAGAAACAACAGGTGTTGGCGAGGATGTGGAGAAATGGGTGAATCCTCATGCACTGTTGATGGGAATGCAAACTGGTGCAGCCACTGCAGAAAACAGTAATGAGGTTCCTCAAAAAGGTAAAAATAGAACCATCCTACAATCCAGCAATCCTACTACTAGGTATTTACCCAAAGAATACAAAAATACTAATTCAAAGGGATATAGGCACCTGGATGTTTATAGCAGATTATTTACAATAGCCAAGTTACGGAAAACAGCCTAAGTGTTCATCAATAGATGAATGGATAAAGAAGATATGGTGTGTGTGTGTGTGTGTGGTGTATGGTATGTTTATATATATAAACACAATGGAATATTACTGAGCCATAAAAACAAATGAAATCTTGCGTTTTGCAATGACATGGATGGAGCTAGAGAGTATAATGTTAAAATAAGTCAGTCAAAGCAAGACAAATACCATATGATTTCACTCATATGTGGAATTTAAGAAACAAAACAAATGAGCAAAAGGAAAAGAGAGAGGAAAAACAAGAAACAGACTCTTAACTACTGAGAACAAACTGATGGTTACCAGAGGGGAGGTGGGTGGGGGATGGGTTAAACAGGTGATGGGGGATTAAGGAGTGCACCTGTTGTGATGATCAGCGGGTGATGTATGGAGTTGTTGAATCACTATATCGTACACCTGGAACTAATATTACACTGTATGTTAACTAACTGGAATTTAAATAAAAACTGGGAAAAAAAGAACAGGGCTCAGGTCTTCAAATATTGAAAGGAGAAGAAAAAACATGCTTTTAGGGTTTTTTTAGTCACATTTTTGCCCCATATCTTTTAATTTGTAGTAAAGTTTGGTTGTATGTTTAAGTTCACTATATACTAGTGCTCACTTCAGCAGCACATATACTAAATCTACTATATACTAAGTTATAGCAGAAAAAGTGAGAGAAAGAAGCTTCACCAAAAAAGAGAAGAGACATGAGCCCCAGGCACCCAGGTTCTGGAAAGATAACTTTCATTATTTTTTTAGCTTTTAGTAGTGGTAGCAAAAAGTCATCTCAAAATCAATAGAAACAGAGAACCCGGGGCACCTGGGTGGCTCAGTCGGTTAAGTGTCTGTAGGCGTCTGTCTTCGGCTCAGGTCATGATCCCAGGGTCCTTGGATCGAGCTCTGCATCGGGCTCCCTGCTCAGCGGGAAGCTGCTTCTCCCTCTCCCACTCCCCCTGCTTGTGTTCCTGCTCTCGTTATCTCTCTGTCAAACAAATAAATAAAATCTTAAAAAAAAAACCCAAAACAAAACAAAAAAACAGAACCCAAATTGGCTTTATTTTAATTTACTTTTGGGGTTTTTTTACAAGTATTTTTTGAGCACATACTAAGTGCAAGGCAACTTTGTTTTTGGACTCATTTTATCACACTGATACCTTCCTGTGTTTCTAATTTATGATTCAAATTTTTATTTTGCCTCAGGCTAAAAGAACCACACACTATGTCCAGAAGTCAAAAGTTTCTCATCTGGCTTTCTGATACGTAAGAATTTTAGTTTCTTGATATACCAGTTACTGTTTTAGCTGAATCTATTAAATACTATGTTTATATAGAGCAAGCTTTCTATATGTGATTTGTAACAAGGATGATAAGCACGTACTCCGTGGGTGGATGTATGTGAATCATTTAGAACTACTTTAATTACTAGTCACAAAACCTTAAGAGGAATCTTGAGAGATAATCTCATCCAGCTTCAGGAGAAAACTGCCCTCCTAACCAAAGGTAAATGATTAACTTAGGGTTATCTAGCTAGTTAGAAGAGGTGGTGGTGGTATGCATAACCATTCCCTTCTACCTATTTGCTGTTTTCACTAACCTGCAGTCAGAGACATGGCAGAAAGAAGTGTGTATAGCGGGGTGCCTGGGTGGCTCAGTCGTTAAGCGTCTGCCTTCAGCTCAGGTCATGATCCCGGGTTCCTGGGATCGAGCCCCGCATCAGGCTCCCTGCTTGGCGGGAAGCCTGCTTCTCCCTCTCCCACTCCCCCTGCTTGTGTTCCCTCTCTCACTGTCTCTCTCTGTCAAATAATAAAATAAAATTAAAAAAAAAAAAAGAAGTGTGTATAGCAATACAATGATATGTAAAAGTGTATATTGACTAGTGGCACATTTCTCTGAAAAATCTGCACGAAGACTTAATAGCAGACAGGAAGCCCCACCTTTAGGGTGGGCATCTCCTTTAAAGAAAATACTTTCATTTCTCAGACATGTTGAGTTTAATTTGAGGTTAATAACACAATGTTGCTGTGCTATATTTTGCTTTAAAATGGAACCTGGAATGCTTAAATAATAGTCCTAAATTGCAACCTTTTAAATTAGTTACCTCCTCTTTCAGAGAGTTGGAAAACTAGTTTTATCTTTTCTCTGTGCCACAGGGTTTATTCTTTTTTCCTCTATTCCTGATTTAATTTCTAGTTTTCAAGGATACATTTTTAATTGGTGTTAAATGCATATGATTTTTAGTTTCTCTTATTTCATTACTTCAATAGACATAAACAGAATAGAAATAATATGTATAACTTTCCAGTATAGTTCGTTCCCATCATGCTCAAGTGATTTATGTTCTAAGAGTTCACTTTTAAGTCAGTTATTTAGCACTTAAAAAAAAGCTGCAGTTTTCCTATTTATAGTGTAATCAATGGACATTAGGTTTCTAAGATAGCACATGAAAGACTAATCCATTATGTAAATGAACTATGATATTCTAGAATTTGGCCCAAGTTCACTGCCTTATTTTAAGTTGGAATGTTAGACAGACTTCCCAGCTCTTTCTCACTTGTTATGGTGTCGACAGGGAAATCGAGGAGGCCTCTTGTCTACTGAGTGCTTCAATAAGATTGGGTCTCTTGATGATGTAGTTATAGAAGAAATAGAAAGGAGGTTCTGGTGGACAGACAGCCAGCAGTGAAAGGAGATCCAGCGGTTAGAACATAAATGCATCCACCACAGTTATTACTTGAGGCCATTGCTTTATTGCTGCTACAGCATTGGGATTAAATTCAGTTAGGAGGGCACCTGGGTGGCTCAGTTGGTTAAGCGACTGGAGTCCCGGGATCGAGTCCCGCATCGGGCTCCCTGCTCGGCGGGGAGTCTGCTTCTCCCTCTGACCCTCCCCCGTCTCATGTGCTCTCTCTCTCTCTCATTCTCTCTCTCTTTCAAATAAATAAATAAATCTTTAAAAAAAAATTCAGTTAGGAATTATAAACTCTAAATGGACTAAATTAGGACTAAGGACTAAGAGTCCTTCGTTAGAGTTAAGAGATATCTAAATCTGTCCTGCTTTTCTTTTCCAGCTTACTAATGAGAAAAGCCTTGTTTGACCACCTCACTGCCAGAGGCATTCAGGTAAGTTTCTGGAATGATGCATTTTTTTTTAAGATTTTATTTATTTATTTGAAAGACAGAGACAGTGAGAGAGGGAACACAAGCAGGGGGAGTGGGAGAAGGAGAAGCAGGCTCCCCACTGAGCAGGGAGCCTGATGTGGAGCTCGATCCCAGGACCCTGGGACCATGAGCCAAAGGCAGACGCCCAACGACTGAGCCACCCAGGCGCCCAGAATGATGCATTTTGGAAACAGTATAGCTCACCAGTTTAACAGTAGTGTAAATGGCAGGAACTTAATTTGGTTCCAGCTCTAATGCTGCTGCTTTACTGGTTCACATATGAAGACCTTAAACTCTGCCTTACACTTAACAAGAAAGCATTGGCATTTTAGTAACTGGAGTCCACTTATGTATAGGTGACAGTACTGGAAGCCAGAGGGTGGGACAGTGTATATTTAATGGGTAAAGTAAAAAAATTTTTAAAGGGTTCAATGATTTCTTAAAATTACAGGTTTAAAAGGTTGTTTCTAAGTATGCTGAGATTGTAGTGTATAAAGGCTATTATAAAATTTTAACCTTTCGTCTCATACTTCTCATGCTTCTAATTTTCAGGTCTATATTTGGGTATTGAATGAAGAACAAGAATACAAACGAGCTTTTGATTTGGGAGCAACTGGGGTGATGACAGACTATCCAACAAAGCTTAAGGATTTTTTACATAATTTTTCAGCATAGAAAAGGAGGTACTCAGAAGCACTCAAAGATGAAAAGACCTAAAGAAAAACAAAACAAAACAAGTTTGCCATCATTTCCCTAAGCCATTTCCAGAATGGTAAAGGTTTAATCATTTAAGTTTTTATTACCTCATTTTTAAGCTTGTCTGAGAATGTAGAAACTATATATTGTATATTTATTTTAAAAAACATTGCATATTTTACATTTGTAAATTGTTTAGAAAGATAACTGGTTATGAGATGTAAGTAGATTATTGATCAAGAGTTCTGTATATGATGCAGTATTCTATTATAAGTAATTGTAAAATCAAAGACTATTGGATAAATTTGATATTAGCCTTCACTGGAATAAGATCAACTAATTAGCAAAGCAAAATTACTGAAGGCCATTACAGCTATGCTGAGTTGTCTCGTTATTTCTAGGTACATCTTAGTTTAAAAGGAAAGAAAATGTAGTGGGAGGAGAGCTTAGAAATCAGTGATATAGTTATCTGACAAGCTGTACATTATTAACAGAAGGCAGGCTCAAAAAAAAGAACTGAAACTAATACTTGATCAGAAATAAAAACTGTAGACAATTAGATTTCTTGGTTGCTGTTGTTAATGGGGACATTCTGTTTGGAATCTTTAGGTGTAACAGTGTTACCATGTCCTTTCTTTTTGGTAGACATTAAAATTGGACTTATAAGACCCAAATAGTCATATATTTGTGTTTCCTCTAAACATGTTTCTTCTAAACAAAATTTTCCATTTTTTGGCAATGACTAACTGTTTGGGCCTACATCTAGATTTTAAATAACGTCTTGAATCCTAATAATCATATGAAACTGATGAAAGTACATATCATTGTTTCTAATACATATGGTATAAACCACCTGTTCCTGACCTTTAAGGTTTAATTCTTCTGAATATTAAGTGGAAGCAGAATTTCTCAAAGCATTAGGCTTCACTTTCTCATCTTTTCTGATACGACTCCATGTAAAATTTTTCTAATCTTTTTGACTAATTTTCATTATCTCTTCGGGAGGTAAATATACTCTGGAATAATAAGGGTCTTTTACCTAGATTACATCTCTCATTTGGAGTTTGCTAGCTAGCAGCTATGAAGGATGATCATACTCCCACAACCTATCCCTTGATGACATAAATAACATTTGCTTTTTTTTTGTTTGTTTAAACTGAAATAAAGTTTTACAAGAACAAAATAAAGGTTTTTCATTGCTTTTTTGCAGTTGTAATTCCAAATATACTTTTTAGATTTTGGGGGGGGGCAGAATTTAATGAGGTGATAAATTGATAATATGAGTAAGCACACCTAAGATTTCTCTCTAGAGTAAGGAAAGCAAAAGAAAATATGGAAACACTCTTATGGTACAGAAGTTGCTTCTTGGCATTTGAACAAATAACTTGGGCAGGTAATCCATCAAATCAGTCCTTTTTACTTTCACTTGCTGTAATTTACGGTTATAGTTGCTAGGGATTATTTTGATCACTTTGATATGATTCTTTTTGTTATTTCTTCTTTTTGTTACTCCTTCTTTTTGAATTTTGCTTTGTTATGATTCAGAGGAGCTCATATCAGTATATATTTTGTGCCAACCAGTAGAAGATAAAGTACTCAATATGATAAAGATGTTTAGAAAGTCCTATTTTAAAAGTTTGCTAATTTTGGGATGCCTGGATGGGTCAGTTGGGTAGAACATACAATTCTTGATCTCAGGGCTGTGAATTTGAGTCCCATGTTAGGAGTAGTTTACTTAAAAAAAAAAAAAAAGGTGTGCTGCTCTTACAGTCAAGGTGACTTTAATTCACTTAATATAAGTATATAGTATCTATAACAAGAGAGTTGATATTCATGATCAGATAACATCTCAATACTGCTTTTCTGATTGGAGCATCACATTTTATCTATCTATTTATTTAAAGTAATCTCTATGCCCAGTGTGGGGCTCAAACTCCAAGATCCCAAGATCAAGAGTCACATACTCTACCAACTGAGCCAGCCAGGATCCCCTGGAACATCACTTTTTTTTCTTTAAGATTTTATTTATTAGAGTGCATGTGTGCACAGGAGTGGGGGTGGGGGAAGGGGCATAGGGAGAGGGAAAAGCAGGCTCCCTGCTGAGCACGGAGTCTGATGTGGGGTTCGATCCCAGGACCCTGGAATCATGACCTGAGCTGAAGGCAGACACTTAACCCACTGAGTATCCAGGCACCCCATGGAGCAACACATTTTAAAGAGCTTAAATACTCTTTCATTTTGAGATAGCTATTGCTAGGCATAGTGAACAGCATGGTAGGAAAGGTTGAGAAATGGTCACAAGATGTGATTAGACCCTTCTACTGGGATGAGGCTGGCAGTAAACGTGACAGGCCCAGCTATAAGTCTAGTCCAGCATGCCAACAGTAGCCCAAGTATTTGGCAATAGGCAACAGTTGGCCAGGCATTTTAGCAAGCAATTGACATGAGCGAGTTTTAATATGAAGTAGTGAGAGCTTCCCTGTAGGACTAAAGTCCTGGGTGTGTTACCAAGGCAAAACAGAACACAAGGTACCAGAACTAGGACCCAGGTCTTGGAAAGAAGCTCATTTAATAGAACTGAAGAACAGAGTGATAACACTGGACTAATTATAGGAGTAAGAGGCTACTGAGTCCGGGCGCCTGGGTGGCTCAGTTGGTTGGGCGACTGCCTTCGGCTCGGGTCATGATCCTGGAGTCCTGGGATCGAGTCCCGCATTGGGCTCCCTGCTCGGCGGGGAGTCTGCTTCTCCCTCTGACCCTACTCCCTCTCATGCTCTCTATCTCTCATTCTCTCTCTCTCGAATAAATAAATAAAATCTTAAAAAAAAAAAAAAAGATGCTACTGAGTCCTAGAACTATTAAACCTCTTGTTTCTGGCCGGAAGTGGTTCTAGAAATGGGAGAGGGGTCCTGACAATAGGTGGGCATCTAGGAGCCACAACTGTGGAGAAAGAATGGCCACAATGGTTGGGAAAAGAGAACATAAAACATAAACTGTAGGATGTTGTAGTATGGGAAGTCATTAACATAGAATAATTCATAACATGAATGATCCTGCTTAGAGCCGTGCAACATGGTGCTGGGAAGGTGCATTTAAACGATATATAGGGAGGGGCACCTGGGTGGCTCAGTCAGTTAAGCATCTGCCTTCAGCCAGGCCATGGTCTCAGGGTCCTGGGATTGAGCCCCATGTTGGGCTCCCTGCTCAATGGGGAATCTGCTTGTCCCTCTTCCTCTGCTTCTCCCCACTCGTGCTTGCTCACTCACTCTCAAATAAATAAATAAAATCTTAACCAAAAAAAAAAGAGTTCCAGTTGAAGGGAAGTCATGAATGCCAGGTTGAAGAGCTCTTGGGCTCTTTCAAATAGGTGGCTAAACTCAAGACATTAAAAACAACAACCAAAACTGCTAGACAGTAATATGACATAATCACTTCAGTACCAAAAGGAAAATGTAATTCGCCGTCAGACCAGGCACCAAAATAAGATTAGAACTAAAGCAGTCAGATCCAGGAATCAAAGAGATCAGAATGCTGAGAACATACCAAGACAATTCCTAAAGCCACGAGTGATGTCTAGCTTTTCTAACTCTTACATAGCAGACATACAGAAAATGGGAACATCCTATAGTATGAAGGAAGGAAACGAGCCTGAGCCAGAAAACAGTCCCAGAAGTCAGGTCAGAAGGCTAACCAGATCCAGTTGATCTTAAATTGCACAAAAATTAATTTGGCAATAGTCTACAGAATGGGAGACTCTTGCAGCAATCCAGGCCTAAGGTAATAAGGGTTTAAATGAAAGTGGTGGCACTTTAAGTAGGGAAACAATGAATCTACATTTCTCTGAAAGGAAGAATTAGTAAGAGTTGGTGACTAGAGCTTAAAAGGAGAAGGGAAAGTCAGTACTCATTCCAAATCCGCAAGAAAATGGGGAACTTGAAGAGAGAAACCAGTTTGGTGGTAAAAATGATGACTGTGTTGAGCTCTTGGGCTCAGTCAGTTAAGCGTCTGCCTTTGGCTCAGGTCATGATCCCAGGGTCCTGGCATTAAGCCCCACATCGGGCTCCCTGCTCAGCAAGAAGCCTGCTCTCTCTCTCTGACAAATAAATAAAATCTTAAAAAAAAAAAAGTGCTATAAAATGACAGACATTTGAGGGGCTGTGCTTTTAAGTATATTAGCCCTTGGAGGAAAGGATAGTTGGAGAAATAGGTTTATGAGTTTTGTATACTTTTTAGGTATGATTCTGCAAAGCTAGTACTTTAGAGGTGATGTTAGTTCCTTCTCAGTATTCTGCTTGCAATTGGAATAGGTTACTATGCAATACATTTGTCTTGTTTGTCTGGTAGTTTTAGAATTTAGATGTAGGGTTTCATCATAAGATAACAAGACGGGGCCTAAACAGCTTCTGCTGAGTGAATGGGGATGATTATGCTAAGAGGAGGCTGAGCAGGTATAGCTTTGTGTTACCCATTCCCAATTTGACCAGAACTGCTCCACTTTTTTCTGTCTCACATGTGAGTTCCGCATTAAGGTTTGGTTTAAAATAGGAGTTTTCTACAAAAAAATTTTTGGCTTTTATAATCTTTGATCTAAGATCTTTTTCCCTTTTGGGCTTGAATAGAACCTCTCTTTCCTTCTTCCCTCCCTCCCTTACTTCCTAACTCACTCTAAGCCTTTTTCATTTTTTAAAAAATATTTATTTGAGAGAGAATGTGTGCAGGCGCAGGGGTAGGGGGCGGGGGAAGCGGGGCAGTGGGAGAGAATCTTCAAGCAGATTCTGCACTGAGCCAAAATCTTTTTTAAAAAAATTTTGTTTATTTATTTGAGAGAGAGAGAGAGCACAAGCAGGGGGAGGGGCAGAGGGAGAGGGAGAAGCAGGCTCCCCGCTGAGCAAGGAGCCCTATTCGGGGCTCAATCCCAGAACCCTGGGATCATGACCTGAGCCGAAGGCAGACGCTTAACGACTGAGCCACCCAGGCATCCCTTTCATTTGGTTTTAAAGGAGGCCTCCTTAACTACGGTTCATTTATCTCTATAGCTGATGGAACTGATGGCAGATTGCAAAGGAGTGAAGAGGCTAATAAAAATGAGGCTAGTAAAAATCAGCCATTTATTCAAAAGAATTGGAGAACGAGGACATTTGAAAAGGCAGTGTGGTATCAAGTAGGTTGTGTTCTAAGTGGGGAGGCTTATCAATGTGTGAGAACAAGAAGGAAGTAATGGAGAGAACTGGAGACATGGAGAGAGGACATGTGAGCAAAGATCTCTTTCAATCAAGACTGAATGGGTTGTAACTTATTCAATAAATATTTATGAATCCCTGCCATGC